CCATCTATTTTTATCATGAAAAATTCTTCATACTTTTACATGCAATTAAATACAAAAAGGCATAATGATAATTTCTGAAATTTTTTAATATAGAACACTTACAGAACTTTTACAATGAAAGTGAAAATACTTGTCAAAATAATAATTTCAGAGTATCTGTTCCAATAAAAATCTACAAAAAGTTACTAACTTACATTATTTCTACCAAAAACACTCCTTAAAATATCCTTTAAAGTCATGCTAATCTGCCCCACAATTAAAACAAAGTTAATAATTTTCATTATTTCAAATTATGTTAACAACTCAAGAAAGAAAGCAATCATGTTTTATTAGAACTCAATCAATCTATGTATTAACAGAAGCAGAATAACTGTTAAGTAGAATAACTATTTTCAGATGTGTGACTGATATATAAAAAATAACTAAAATATTATAGCTAGTTAATAATAATTTATTCATCTATTGTTAGGCTGCATTTCAGATTCAGTATTTCTTGGAGCAGTATCACAGAGTAGGAATTGAATATATGCAGCCAGTTTACTTAGCATTTAATGCTGTATATACAGCCTGAGTAGTATGCAGTAGTATCTTCAAATCTTTACGAACTTTTTATGGAAGGTAAAAGTATAACTATTTCCAAGTATTAATGAATCTCTGCAAAATGTACATAGCAATAAAAAGTTGATTTTAGAAATGTACAAAAAAAAAAAAAAAAAAAAAAAAAAACAGTTGCATATATTTTAATTAAAAAATGTTTACAAAAGCATATTTAAAAACGAACATTCAAGTATACAATTATAATTTTGAACAATGAAACAATATGCAATAAATATAACACCAAGTGTAAGATGAAACCTTAACTGTCCATAAACTTTTTTTAACATAAGAAAACAGAAAAGAGAAAATAAAATTCTGCACTAAGATATTGATAACAAGTGACTCAAGCAATTGTCAATAACTTAGACTCCTACACATCACATAATTTCCTTTTCTTGACTAGATTTTCTATATTGTAGTTTCTAACTTTGATTACTGCAAATTACAATTGTATTCTTACAACATAATATGGCAAACATACTTAAAAATAGTTTTATGTGATGAGTGCTAAAATTTATATCAAATAATTTTATTATGATAAGTTATTTGAGCTCACCAGGTTAGGTGGAGGGGGGGGAACTTGTTATAAATCTACAGTAAGCTTTACTTTCAAGAACAAAATATCCAACATCTCATCCCATCAAAGTGAACAAAGTCAAGTATAACAACAAATTTTTAGATATGTCATTTTACATCTGTAGTACAGAGGTTACAAAAAAGTTCAATTAAATATTTTTTTAGAATTAATAATACATACTATACACTTCAAGGTTGACACTTCTTATGACTACCGAGTGTCCTATTACACCAAACATTAAAAAAAGAAAGGAGAGAAAAATTTAATTTTCCTGAGGGTAACAAATTTTTAAAAATATTTAGATTATAATTTATATTTGCACAAAGATATAATGCTTCCTTTTTTAGCATATACCAATTTGAAACATTCCAAAGTTGCAGGCAAATATCAAGAAAAGCTTGCTATTAAAGGAAAAGGAATGAAGTATTTTTATTTGTCTAAAATACCCTTTTTATCTCAGAAAGGAAATACATGGCTTTTATTCCATATAACTAAAAATTGTTCATAATATTTATCTTCACATACAATATAACATGCAAACTAATACATATTTCTGTGAATATTACATTTCAGTGAGTTTAAAATCACACATTAATTATTCCTAAAATCCTAATGACACACACACGTAATTATATATCAGTGATTTCCAAACTTATTGATGGCATGGTAAAAAAGCAACCGGGATTACAAAAAGACAGGCACTCCTCCCCTCATACTATCACTAAAACAAAGTAATGCATATAAATTGCAACAAAAATAGTTATTTTAGCTAAATTAAATAATTAAATTTTATGCATCCAATCAATTTATTTGTGCTACCATACACTACCAATCTAATTTCTTTTTTTTTTTTTAAATATGCTAACTAAATGGGTACAGTATTTAGTATCTTGGGTTTAACCCGTTACCGCCTAGTGATCCATTCATAGATTATCTACTTTTAGAATGTATATCTTTTAATCACTTCCTGTCACTGTTTGATTCCCTTACGCATGTGGCCACACCCCCAAAGACATTTTGAAACATTTTTATGCAGATTAGTCCAGCAGATAATATTGAAGTTAGCCAATTGATGCTTACTTACATTTGCTGCCATCTACATAACACAACTTCCGATTTTGTATCCAAGTAAAAAAAAAAAAATAATAATAATAATAATAATAAAAGCAAGTTTTACTTTCTGTATGTGTTCTACATTTTCAATACCTCTTTAAATGTTCTGCATTGTTTATATTAGAAAAATAACTGTTCTTATTTTACTGTACTTTTTAACTAAATTTTTAGCTTAAACATGCTGATTTAAGAAGATTGTGGGGCATTTTGGTCTCTAATCCTGTTTTTTCCCCCTTTTCATTTTTTTCCAGAATGTCCATGCATAAAGTGTATCACACTGCCAAAGAAGCATTAGAATATATGTTTTTTAAATAGATTAAGTCAGACATAATTGCGTTATTGCTTGACGTGGATGAGTTAACTGACAGAGTGCTTTGATGACGGTGAAATGATTACTCCAATGGTAAAATATCTGTCAGGTAATGTAGAAATTCATTTACTCGTGGAAGAAATATAGAGGTAAAAGAACAATGTGAATAAAAAAACATGAATGATTTTGGACCTAATATTATGGAGCAACTGCCATCTACATCTAGTGTCAGTAATCAAAATGAATTAGTTCAAAATTATCAAAAAAAAAAAAAAAATAAAAAATATAAATAAATAATAAATAAATAAATAAATAAAAATAAAAAAATAATAAATAAATGAATGAAAAATAAATAATAAAAAAAAATAAAAAAGGCAAGCTTGAAAAAATTCAAAATGGAGCCGAAAGCAAATTGCACAAAAAATAGCCCTACTTTTATGCTTTTAACAAAAAAAGTAATTTGTCTGGTGAAAATCTTGATAGCATTTCAAATGTTTTAGAAAATATGAATCCACTCGAAACTTTTGAAGAATTTTTAACTCCTGAATTTTATGAGTATATATAATAAACAAAAGGAAGATATGTGAAAGAGTAGAAAAATAAGTTTTCAGTTACAATTGATGAGTTGAAGAGTTTTATTGGTTTTTTGATTTTCTCTGCCTACCATAAATTATGAAGTGAATGTGATTACTGGTCAGAGGAAGATCTCAAGGTTCCGATAGTAAAAAAATGCAATGTTTCAAAATAAATATTTAGAAATTAAATCTGTAATCCATTTTGCCAATAACAATTATGCAGCAATGAAAAAAATACAGACTAGGCATTCAAAATAAGAATATTAATCACAGTTTTAAAAAACTTGGAATTTCCAATAAATTTCTGTCTGTATATGAATTGATAATTAAATATTACGTCATCATTTTTCAAACAATTTCTTAAAGGCAAACCTATGTGGTTTGATTATACATATTGTGGTGCAGAGAGTTTTATAATGCTCCTGAAACTTCGAAAAAACCGCTTGGAATCCGAGTAGTGTAAAAAAACGTTACAACTAGTAATTAATCCCTATAGCCAGATCATATTTTTTGACAATTTTTCTTGGCCTTTAATGCCTGATAAAGACTACTGGTCGTGGTACTTACGACTACTGTTTCGACGAAAAGAATGAAACAACTATAATTAAATGGAAGGATAACAAGTATACAACAACAGCAACAAACTTTGATTATATAGAGCCTCTAACCCAAGTTTCAAGGCATCAAAATGGTTTGAAAGAAAAATCCCAAATTTTGCAACCTAGTACTATAGCTCAATATAACAAAAATATGGGTGAAGTCGACCAGCATGACTCACTCTTAGAAAAACAAACAATTCAAAAACGAGGCCAAAAGTGGTACTGGCCAATATTTACAAGAGTTATTGACATGGCTGTCATAAATATGCATATTCTGAAAAGCAACAAATTCTGAAAAGTATAAAAGACATCTGAAGATATATCTTGGTTGTGTACCTCAAACTGGGAACAAATTCTAAGAAAAGCATTGAAAGACCTTTGGTGATGTCATAAAGACCAAAAGTGATACACTCTGTACATTTGGATAGAAAAGACCACGTTATAGGTCAAAGACAAAACCAAAGAAGAGGCCAATTTAAAAAACATAAGAGAAGACTTCTTATGTTTTGTACAAAATGCGATATAACACTTTGTATGAAATGTTTTCTGCTATACCACACTTAAATATTACAAATTTGCTGTATAAAAATGTAACTAAGGAAATTTAGATGAGTAAAATAAGATTTTTTTCCTTTTAAATCGCTTTAGTTGTTTTTAATTTTGCAAAAAATTCGTAATTTTTTAAACATAAGATCAGAGGGCAGTTACTTGTTCTTTTATTTCCAGAAGCGCTTCGTGATCTATTTATTGATCACTAATTTTCTAAACTACTAATTACAATAAGGAAATAAAACTTCCTAATTACTTTATTTATGACATATGAAATGCAATTTAAAAATACTTTTCAAAAATTCTCATTTAAAAATGATTTGTTGTTAACCCTTTGTTGCTCAGTATTCCACTGCATAGATACCCAAATTGAATCGCTTCTGAAACTGTTAAATTCAACCGTAAATGGATAAAAATGCCTTTACTTCAATCTTCTCTTTTTAAATAGATGATGGCAGCATATCACTAGGAAACCCAGAATTTTCATTTATGATGTGTTATTAAAATCATCTTCTTTTCTAGTAATTTTCTATATTTTGTGTGATGCAATTAAAAAAATTGTTTGAAAACAAATTCCGTATAATTTTGATGGCTGTACTCTATATTATTTGTTATATATTTTTTTACATTTTTAATACAAAAGCATGCGCAGAATCTTGATAAAAGGGGTGTCATAGCGAGAACATTGGCCTTAGCAATCTCTTGCTATTACGCATCAAGAACATCTGTCTTAGGAGAAAACATCTGTTGTATATGTTTTCTATTTACGTTGTTTTGGGAGAATGAATTCAAACAAAGCAGTATTGAGGGGTGAGGTGTGGTTTGTGCTATGAAAGCCCTAATATGGGCATCATGAAATTTTTGTGAGTAGTTTTCAGGCAAGAATTTTATCAGTAGTTTGAGTCATCTTTACTTAGGGGAGCTGCACGAATTATTTTGCTATCGCTTTTAGACAGAAGCCGCACAAAACAAGATTTTTGTTCAAAACCTGCAAAGTTGGTTTGTGCTTCTATCAAAAAGATGCGACATGCTTTGAAAATTTCACGAAGCTATGAAACCGAAAAATTTGTAAATATTTTTGTATACAGCACTTGTGTATATACATATTTATCTCAATTATCCATATATTCAAGAAAGTTGTATATCCAGAAAACCATGTATACAGCTATAATACAGGTTTTTTTTTTTTTTCTTCATGACTATACATAAGCTTCTACTAATTTCCGTGCTTCACTGCAATGCCCGCTTAGTCACCCTTTTAAGAACTTGGTGGTGCAGTGTTCCACTTCATGGAACACCCACAGAATTGAAACGGTAAGTGCAATTTTTACAAAATTGCATCTGTATACTCCTTTAGGCCTAAATAGATTGCATACAACTTTTCTTGTTGAAATAAAGACTTTTAAAGTGTAGAGCAACACAAAGGGTTAACAGGTTAACAATGAAACTGAACTCAGTATTTTCAAAAATGAAAAACTGACAAATCCTTGACCATTGCAAGAATGTTGCTTAAAACATTTTTTTACCAACATTTCATTAGTCTTTTTTTTAATTACAATTACTACAGCATTTATTTTTAGTTTTTGATAACCTTGTAACATTATTTAAACATCGTAAATTGAAAAACTTGAATATTTAATTAAGGAAATTAGCTAGAAATGATAAACAACTGAAATAGTGAGGCAGAAGATTAAAATTATGACATATTTGCAGTGACAATAATACATGGTACATCAGAATATTAAACCATAATATAAACCATCCAATGGAATAAAAAGAAAAGTCTTGATTAAAATACAAAATCTTATCTCCACATACACAGCAAAAAATTTTTTTAGCATTTTTTTAGTTTTTCAACATGATCTTTTCGTTATATAATTCTCTTCAGAAATGTATCTGATTACATTGAACACAAGTGCGGACTAAAGGTGTTACATCAGGCAACAGAAAACTGTAATATATAATAAATTAAAAAAATTTTTAAAATCTAGATATCGCAATGGCATTCGTTTATATTTTATCAAACATACTGCATTTATTATTGTTACATTAAAAATGGGAAGGCTGAATAATGTGAGAATATGCATTTAAAATAAATTTTTACTAGAAATGCATTTACAATGAATCTCAATTATCATGGAAGTAAGTTTTACAAACCTTGTAAATATACAGAAAATTGCCTTATTCATAAAAAGGATTTTAACAAAGTCTTGTCCCCCCAAAACCCATGAGTTACTTCCAACAAAAATCACATAAACTCATTTATACCCCTTTAAATCTATTTTCTAAAATTCTGTCTTATCTCAATCAGTATTTTACTTTTCTACTGTAAACAGGTTTAAAATTTTCAGACACCATATTACAAACATGGATCTCATTTTAAATATTTATATATTATACATATACATACCATAAAGAAAAGATTTTTTACTAATTAGAATCAGGGATTTTTAAATATTTTTATTTCTATGAAACTTTACACAACTTGAAATGAATATTACTACTATACTAAAGTATAAGATACTTTTTTATTTCAGGATATATTCTTGTACACTGGCAAAAGTATGAACCACCAATATGCATCTTCTAGTCCTCATGTGAAAAGAAATGTGGCAATCTATGTTGTAATAGATTCTACATACTATAAACTGTGCATGTAGAACGAAAATGAAATAAATATACTCACACCACTTCCTGTACTACCAAATTTTAGAAAAGCTATAATCAGCAGAATAACCTACATGCAATATAAGAACTTTACTTAAACAATGTATTTTGCCCCTCAAATGTAATTTTATTTTATTCATAAATGGAATAATTTTCTTACTATTTTGCTAAAACATTTCTGATTTTGTTTCATAGAATGCAAGCAAGATCCATTACCACACTTTCACAGACCTTAGGGAGGTGTGCCCAACGTGAAAGAAACCAGAATGACGTGTGTGTTTCATTGGAAATAACCAAAAAAGCAATTTATTTAATGATCCAAAGATAAAGGAAACATATCTAAAGTATGGAATGTAGAAATAACAACATTAACTATTTGTAAAATATACATATACACACAGTAGAATTTCAATCTACCTTTTCTATGGGAAATACAATACCAGAATGCAAGAACACTACATGTAGGAATATTGTTTACAGAAAGAAAAATCTAAAATGATAAATGTAATAAAATAAGGAAAAGGCAGAGTGAACTTCTGCTGCATATTTAAACTTCTGATTTTTACAAATTTCACCAAAATTTATTAACTCCTTTCTACATAACTGTTTGCATTCAAGTCAAACCAGGAAAATGATGTAATTTGAAATTTTAAGTCTTTTCATGCATGTCAGGCCAGCAATGTACCTCATCTGATAAGCTCTGGACAGGTGCTGTCACCAATTACCTAGCAGATGACTCACATCAAAAGTAATAAAATATATTTTCTTCGTATATTTCTAAAAACGCATGCAGAAAGGGGTTAAAATCTTTCTGAGTTATATATACCATTTTATATTAAAGATTTTCGTCAAAAAATTTAAAATGTGTTTTAAACACAGGATACAATTTTAGAATCAAATTAAAAAATACTGCTACCTAAATATCTTCTAAAACATACACTTGAAGTAGATATGACTTCAAGCAGAAAATATTTATTAAAATTCAAACACTGCATGCACAAAAAAGAGGCATAAATATTAAAAGCAAAATATGAATGCTATTTTTAAGTTTTTCAACAATGAACAGCATGTGTATAAATATCTGAAAATTAAACATCTTAAGACAATAAAAATTTTAAAACATTAAACATATATATATGCAAGCTTTACGTAACATTATGCCTTACTTCTAACATGAATTTATTTTAAACGAAAACAATTCTATAGTTTCAGATAATGTATATACATTTCCTAAAGTGTACATGCCAAATTGTATTTTAATTTTAGCTGAATACTTTCATGAACACCAGAACTAAGAATTACTTAAAAAATTTCACCAAAATTTTGTATAACATGAATTATGAACATTATTATCTCCGAAATAATTTACAGCCTTTTTTTTTTCTTCCTTTTGATAACACTTCACAAGTTTTATTGGGACTAGTAAGATAAGCAGCATCCATGGAAATGATTTGTTTGCTGCATAGGAAATATTCATGGATTTTGGAGCAGCTCATTCAAACAAATCATAAATTATACTTCTCTGAATGCTAAACAACTGTTCCTCCACTTGGATTACTGGAACTTGGGCTAGACACATGTTGAGCAAGTATCTAAAAAAAAATAAAGAAATTTAAGAACTTAAAAAATGGATGACTTAAGAAAATGTTTTCTAGTCTTTTCTATATAACAAATAACGCATTTTTTAAAGTTTAATTTAGCTCACTCATATTGTTTGTTTAATATGGCCAAAGGTTTGTCACCAATTTTTAAACTACTTCCTAATAAGCCACCAAGCTCATACTTTGCACACACTTTTCTGTTGATAATACAATGTTATATACACTGCTGGCCACCCAAATTGCAACACAAAGGAAGACAAGAGATATCACAACAAAATTTATTTATTAGATAACATGTTAACCAAGTATCAAATTATTAAATTTATAGGCTTCTGTGAAGTGTAGTTACTTCCAAAATCAGTAGCCAGAGTAGCAGGCATTGTTGGAGATCACCACTGCCACATGCCTTAGCATTGATTCAAAGAGACTTTGGATGTGTTTCTTGGGGTACAGCTGAACATGCAGCTTCCACACGTTGCCAAAGTTGATCTGGTGTAGCAGCCTGGGATGTAATCTGGGTCAACCGTTGAGCAACCATGGACCACATATTTTCTATAGGCGAAAGATCCAGAGAGCAAGCCGGCCAGGGAAGCAATTCACTCTGGTGATTGACGAAGAACCCTTGGACAATGCGTGCCACATGTGGTCGCGCATTATCCTGTTGAAATATGGGTGTGGGCATGCCATGAAGGTAGGAAGGAAAACTGGCTCCAACACCTAGGAGATGTAACGCTGGCTGTTTAAAGTACCGGCAATGCATATTGGAGGAGTGCAAGAGTGATATCCAATACTGCCTCATACCATAATACCCGGTGCAGGACCAGTGTTACGGTGCATAACGCAGCTGTTCAGAATCATATCTCCACGGTGACTCCAGGCTCAAATCCGACCATCGTGGTGTTGCAGACAGAAGCGTGACTCAAGACAATTTCATTCCATTCCTTCTTTCATCGCACCATTGGCGTCCACATCCTTCTTTCATCGCACCATTGGCGGCAGAGATGTCTGTGGTTCTGTGTCAAGGGTAGATGAACAATAAACGGCTTGCAGACAGACCACTCTGCTGTAAATGCCGTCGAATGGTACGAACAGACACTGGATAATGTGTTACAGACTGAATGTGCTGTGCTATGGTTCATGATGTGACTGAGCGATCTGTCATTGCCATGCGCACGATGTTCCTCCTGTCATCACATGAAGTGGTGCACTGAGGTGGATGTGATCAAACACGTCGGTCCGTTGTTCCCTCCTGCATCCAACGGTCACATATCCGCATTACAGTTGTTTGTTTCGTCCAACACGACTACCGATTTCCCTGAAAGATAATCCACACTCTCGGTAGGCCACTATCCTTCCTCTGTCGAACTCGGATACTTGATCAAATGATGATCACCGTTTACTATGAGGTATAATTGATCATTTAAAAAAAAAAAAAAACACAAGAAAAACACAATTGCAGAATTTGAAATATTCGAAAACTCCATGCCTTAAGTAGCACTTTGAAGTGGCACCACAGGTGCGCCTGACGTGCGTCTGCGCTGAAATTCTAATCATTTGCATATCTCGCCTCCGCTAATGCATGTTGTAAATTTCATGTTATTTGCATGCTTCACTCAGGGTGTTGCATTTACGGTGGCCAGCAATGTACATGATTTTTAAAAAATCTGTTTTTTTTTAATCTAATGTTTAATTAATTTTTTTTAATCTAATGTTAATAATTTAATCTAATGTTTAATTAAATGACTCATACATAGCTTCTTTTAACAAAAAAATTAAAAACTTCAGAATTTCACCATGTGCACCATTGCATAGAAAGAAAATAAATAAATAAATAAATAAATAATCGAAATTTGTAACAATTTCTGATTTTTCCAATTTTCAAAACTTTCACAAATTATGAAACAAATTCTTAGCCCTCTTTTAAAACAAAAATTGTAAAAAATATTAATTGGGTAATTTTTTTGATTTAAAAAAATGCTTTAGATATTAAGTAGAAGGAAAAAGCTGCAGTACTGCCTTTGGTACCAAATGACTGGCTTTGAGTTTTTGAAGTTATGATATTGCTATATCTTACTTTTTTTCCTTGCTTTCACATACACTTCTCTAGCATTTGTCTCATTTATTTATTAATCTTCCTCTTGCTAGAAAGAATAACTTGCAAAAAAATGTACACGTTTTCTCCCATTTTATAAATGCTATTTCTTTCTCTCCCCTTCTTTTATACAGCTTTTGCCTTTCCTATTTGTCTTTTTTAAAATAATAAACAATATGTTAGGATTGATAAGCACTTAAAATTATTCATTAAGAAATATACCTCATTTAAATTTTTTTTTCTATTTTATACATTTATACACATCTTTCTTAGCATTTCATTTTAAAAGCTGATTTTCATAATTTTATTGCTACATGCAGTATTATATTCTTCTATTAAAATTTTAATATCCAAAAATGTTATTTGTAGTAAAAAAACATTAAAAAATTTTCAAAGGTAATAAATAAAACACTCACTTTTCACTTTTGTTAAAATATATTAGAGGTGTTTTTACAAGCTTTTATTTAATTCACTCGTATCTATCACTGTGGTCAAAACTCTGACCAACTCTGGTCTTTTAACTATTCCTTGAAAATTCTGCATACACACTCATTGTAAATGACAATATAATGTGGTGAAGCAGTGTTTTTAAATTTTAATTTTGATATCGTAAAACTTAAAGCTGAAATGATTTTTCACACACATCCTTATTTAATGAACTAAAAGTCTCAAAATATTGCTGTGAAGAAACTGATAGTTTCACTCGTGTGTCGGATTTGCACTATGCTTATAGGGTCCCACAAAATTTTCGTAAATATTATGGGGTCCCCACAATAAAAAGTTTAAGAAACCCTGATATAGTTCAACAGCAAAAAGAAATTAAATATTTCTCTCCACAACATTCATGTGCAATTTCACAAAACGAATAATAAAGCATAGAGGGGGATGAAAGCCAACAATTGCGTAAAAACATGGTGCACTTCCTGCTTCAAAATAACCCACAGCCATGTTTCACAATAATGTAATTCTAAAAGTCAACAAACTAGGATACAAGACTAACACACACTCTACTTGCTCAATACAGAGATCCCTCATACCTTGGAAATTCCTTCCTGACCTCCCCTAAAAAACTTTTAAAATTATTCAGTTAAAACATCAGGCAGTTGAAAATTTCACAGCCTTAAAACAGCTGATTCTACCAAAGGTAGCATGGATGAATATGCAACCCATTTCCAAATCATACAAACATTAATAAAAATTAATTTTATCAATCAGGAATGTTTTATATGCCTTTCCTTCTATGGTTGCAGTTCCAGTCTTCATAAAATAAGTCAAATGCAACAATTTATAAAATTGTAGCATTTATTACATTACTAACATAGTAATTATTACATTACTAACACTTTCTTTAAAAACATGATGGTCAACATGTTATGTTTTTATAAAAAATATAGGAAAAAAGTAACTAAATATTCAAAATATTTATTACAGACAGCAAGCAAGCACTTCTTTCAAGAAAGAGAGATGAAAAGTAATAAATTCTGTTGGCATAGCAACAATTCATTTACACATCTTTCACACATTATATACATTACGTTCATTTACGTTATATATGATGAATTAAATGGTGTAAAACTAATTTTTCCCACTAATAGATCTAGATCATGACCAAAAGAATTCAACAAAAATCTGAGTTGTCATCCAAGACAAAGAAACTCGAAGCTACTCGGATCCCTAAAAAAGTTGAATACGACTGTAAGATGTCCTACACCAGCCAGCAATTAACCCTCTGAGCAGCCCGGGTTTTTGGATGTCATGAAGACCTATATTTAAAGAGCCTTTTTGCTAAATTTGTATATTTACCTATTTTAGTTTCTATTATCATGAACTTACATTCATCAAGATGACATTTATATTATTAATGAAAGTTAGAAAACAAAATATCTTAAAAAAATCTGAAAGGTTTCAGATTTTAAATTATGTCCAAAGGGACATTTTTTAAACATTTTGTGCATTACCTTTTTTTATTAAATATCATGTTCTTCGCACTTAAACCATAAATTTCAGTTCAATAGCAATGTTGCAAAATAATTTTAAAATGAGCCAATCTTTAGAATTTCCTATAAACAATTCCGCGCGCTGAAGATAAAAAGGTTTCCCCCCCATACATTGTTGCTATTGCTCACTTTCAAATCGTTGAGTTTGTTACTCAAAAATTCATTAGTTTTATAAAATATGAAATCAATAATAAAACAAATACTAAATTTCGAATTAGGGCTTCCATATTGCCATATTTGCAGTAGGATTACGTCATTCAAAATTCGATGACTCTATGTACCGTTGGTTTTACCACAATGCGAGAAAAATACACACATTTATGCAGATTTTTTTATTATTCAATTTCTTCAAATATAATGCAGGACTCTAACACTTGGTGGCAACAGTTTGAAAAGTGAAACGGACATTTATAATAATTCAACACAAAACGAAAACAATAGTCCTTCAGGGACAAAGACCTTTTGGACTAATTATAAGCTAATTATAATAAGTTACAAAAAATCTCATGACTGAATAAAGCCAGTCATAACGCTCAGAGGGTTAAGAAGCCCCTGTCAAATGTATGGAGTGGCATGTGTCAATTTAAACATCTGTCCAGACATCACCTCTGACGAAAGAAGCATGAAAGGAAAAACAGAAGACTGCTTTTTATACCTAATGCTCTAACAGCACCACCTACATGTTAAATTTTTGTATCTGATAATTCATTTATTATTTGAGTATGTTTTGGTCTAGTATATTCAGTATATTTTGAGAAATATGAAAACAAAAATGTTTAGTCTCTCAGTTGTAAATATTTTTGTGTGTGTGTTTATATATACACAGAAAGAATATATATATATATATATATATATACAGAGAGATATGGTATATAGCATAACAATTAATTTCAACAGCACAT